CTGGTCGTCTTCCCTAGATGCGGCCTCCGACTCCGCACCTGAGAACCCCCCCAGCAGCCAGGCGCCTCTGACCTTCTCCCTGCCTGCCCCCGCCCCCACCGCCGCCGCCGCCGCCCCCCCGGTCCCTGCCGCCACTGCAGCCTCGCCAGCCAGCCTGCCGGCCCCCAGCGCCAACCCACTGCTGGAGAGCCTGAAGAAGATGCAGAGCTGCCCGGGCCCGCCAGCCGCGCCAGGTGAGCCACGCCGGCCGAGGCCAGAGCGCCCTGCGGTCACTCTCGGCCTGGGGTGGTTTTTATACAAAGACCTAGTTCTTTCCAAGGCAAAGTAACAGAGGCAGAGAGCGAGCTCTTCCATCCACTGGTTCACGCCCCAGATGACTGCAACGGCAGGGGCTGGGCCAGGTGAAGCCAGGAGCCTGGAGCTTCCTACGCCGGTGCAGGGGCCCAAGCACTTTGGGCCACCTGCTGCTGCTTTCCCAGGTGCATTAGCGGGGAGCCAGCATTGCAGACGGCAGCTTAACTCGCTGTAGCACAGCGCCAGCCCCTGAGCGGGCACAAGCTCGAGGTCTCGCTGTCGCTTCCCAGGGAGTTGAGGGGAGGTGGCGGCCCCATGTGGCCCTGGGGAAGCGGCTTGGTTTCTGACCCTAGATTTGAAACCGAGTTCCCTGTCTGCTCCGAGCCCTCCATCTGTAAAGCAAGAATGCCACTCCCCCGGTGTCTGCGGGGTCAGTGCTGCGTGTGCCTGCTGGGCGACGGGCCGGCCTCATGGTGGCCCCTGTCCCTGGGGGTCTTTCCGGGTCTGCCACTCGCACCCGCAGCTGTCGCGGTTTCTTCCCGGCTGCGTGCTCTGCACGTGGGGCTGCACTCGGGGTCTCTGGGGGCAGATGTTCCCCACTGCACCCTCTGACGGACCTGGAGCGCCCTCTGAGTCGTGTCTGTCCACGGCCTCGCGTGTCCCTAGTACCGCGGCAGGCACCAGAGCAGAGCACAGCACAGCCTGCCTTCAGAGCTGCCTTCCCTTCCCACTCTTCCCAGAATCCGCTGGAGCTGCGGCCACGGCCACCCCTCCGCCTCCGAAGACGCCCAGCCCACCGGCCCCGGCCAGCTGTTCCCAGGCGGAGCCCCTCGCGGGCACGTCTTCCGACTCCAAGCCTGCAGCGCCGCTCCTGGGGCTAAGCCCTGCTCCTGCCCCGACACCCGTCACCGACACCCCCAAGGCCCCTGCAGCCCCTCAGGCCGAGCCCTCACCCCCACCCAGCACACTGCTGCGCGCACTGTGCTCCCTGCCCGCTCAGCCCCCCGCCCCTGCCACCCCTGCCGCCTTAATTGTTTTAAAAGATGCTAAGACGACCGCAGCCTCCCAATGTTACCGAGAAGAACAGCTGGAAAGCCTAAAGCGAGAGGAGGTTTCCTCGCCACCAGGCCCCCCGGTCACCACCGCGGCAGCTGCCAGTGCCCCTGCCCCGACCACGACCAGCGCCTCCACCCTCACTTTCAAGCCCATCTTCGGCAGCTCGGGGCTGCCTGCGCCCGTGCCCTCGGCCACGCCCTTCTCCTTTAAGCAGACCACCACAGCCGCCGCCACCACAGCCGCCACCGCCCCTCTCTTCACGGGCCTGGCTGCTGCCAGCTCCGCGGCGGCCTGCGTCACCACCACTTCGTCCGCGGACTCCGCGAAGCCAGCGTTTGGCTTTGGCGTGGGCGGCGGCACGAGCACCACTGCCTCCACCGCGGCACAGCCGTTCCTCTTCGGGGCGCCCCCCGCCTCCGCCGCCAGCTTCACCCCAGCCGTGGGCTCCATGTTCCAGTTCGGCAAGCCTGCCGTGCCCACCTCGGCCGCCGCCGCCACCTTCGGCCAATCCCTCCCCAGCGCTGCCCACACAGCGGCCAGCAGCACGGCCGGCTTCGGCGGCTTCGGCTCCCTCAGCACCTCGGCCCCCGCCGCCCCCAGCCAGCCCACGCTGACGTTCAGTAGCACGACCACCCCGGCGTTCAACATTCCCTTCGGCTCGAGCACCAAGCCCGCCGCCCCGGCGTACCCCGGAGCCAACCCCCAGCCCACGTTCGGGGCCGTGGAGGGGCAGCAGCCAGGGGCCGCCAAGCCAGCCCTCGCCCCGAGCTTCGGCAGCTCTTTCAGCTTCGGGAACTCGGCAGCCCCGGCCCCAAGTGCAGCGCCGGTGCTGGCCACTGGCCAGCCGGCGTTCGGCAGTGCCACGCAGTCCTCCTTCGGGGGTCTGAAAGCCACGGCTGCCGCCTTTGGCGCCCCTGCCAGCACCCAGCCCGCCTTCGGCAGCACCACTGCGGTGTTCTCCTTCGGGGCGGCCACGCCGACCACCAGCAGCGGGACCAGTAGCACGGTGTTCGGCAGCACGACTCCGTCGCCCTTCACGTTCGGGGGGCCAGCCGCCCCGGCTGGCGGTGGGGGCTTCGGGCTCAGCGTGGCCACCCCAGGCGCCAGCTCCACCTCGGGAGCGTTCAGCTTCGGCGCCGGACAGAGTGGGGCCACAGGCACTGCCACACCCTTCGGGGGGGCCTTGAGTCAGAACAGCCTGGGGGCCCCCACCCAGACCAACCCCTTTGCCTTCAACATGGCCAGCACGCCGGAGAGCAAGCCTGTGTTCGGAGGTAAGACTGGGGATCTGGCTGGCGCGGTCTCCTTGGGAGCCTGCGGTAAGCAGCACGTGGAGGGGCGTGGCCAGTGACTGCAGGTGCAGCTGCGCGGGGCGGGGCTCTGCGAGGGCGCCACCTTGTGATGGGGGGTAGAATCGCGGGCGTGGCGAAGAGGGTTAGAGGCGGAGGAGGCGCGAGCGAGGGTGAAGCAGGCAGCGTGGAGGTGGTTGCGGGATTGGCAGCATGCGTGGAGTGATCAAGTTCGCTTCAGGGAGGCTGGGTTGCTGGGAACGGAGTGGGGGAGGGTGTGAGGGATGGGCCCCTTTGGGCGGGGAAGCTGTCCTTGTGAATTAAAGGGGAGCAGTCGGCACTGTCTCCCCAGCAAGTTTACTGGCGCAGCAGAGATGTGCAGGCAGCTGGCTGGAGCTCACCTGCTGCGGCTTGGGCCAGCCCTGCCAGAGGGCCAGAGCTCCCTGGTCTCAACAAGCTGGAGGAATGCAGGAGCCGGGGTGCAGGGAGGGCGCGGTGTGCAGCACCGTGGGGCCTGGGGTTCGGACACGTGGCAGGCTGGGCAGAGGAGCAGATTCAGGCAGCGAGGTCGAGAGACCACACAGTAAGGCCATCAACACTGGTGACAGATGAGGACAGGGAACCGCGTGGCGGTTACCAGGTGAACCGGCAAGGACACGGAGCTGATGAGGATGGGGGGGGTGGAAACAGCATTGGGGAGCAGGCAGACGCCCCCACACACACCTTGGGCCCTGAGTCGTGAGCACCAGAAAGCCTGGCCTGCCTTGGAGAGGGCAGGTACCGTGAGGACAGCCGTGGGCCACAGCGGTGGGTTTTGTGGGGATGCTAACGAGGATTAGTCCTGGTGGAAGCTGGGACCTGCTGAGTGCTGTGCTGTGCGGTGGCAGCCGAGGGGACAGGGACCGACCCCACTCTGCAGCTGCACAGAACTCTGAGGAAGCCGGGGCGGTGCCCGCTGCCCCCGCGGCTCCACAGTGCTCTGCCATCTGCTTCTAGGCACCTCCACACCCACCTTTGGTCAGAACGCCTCTGCCCCCGGAGTGGGCGCGTCGGGCAGCAGCCTGTCCTTCGGGGCGTCCTCCACGCCCACCCAGGGCTTCGTCGGCGTGGGAGCTTTCGGTAAGCAGCAGTGGGCTTGGCTTCCAGGCTCTCGCGATGGGCGCCCCACCCCTGCCTGCGCGCTGGAGGTGAGGAACCCGGGCACCGGCCATCCTGATGAGATGTCATTGACTCTTTCCAGGGTCGGCGGCCCCTTCCTTCTCCATTGGTGCGGGATCTAAAACCCCAGGGGCCCGACAGCGACTGCAGGCCCGAAGGCAGCACACTCGCAAGAAGTAGCCTCGGTCTCCTGCCTGTCTCCCACCCCACCCCACCCCCGTCCCACCCGGCACCCAGGCCCGGACTCTGCCTGCCAGGAAGAGCCTCTGACCCTTGGAGTTGATTGAGTAAACTTCTCCCAGACCTCCGGCCTCGGCCGCCAGCAGGGAGGGGCAGCGGCGGGGGCTGGCCCTTGACTTGAACAGTCGCCCTGGTGAGCCCCTGCCTCCCGCCTCCCCCGGGAGCCCCGTGCACACTGGACGGGACTGGGAGCGGGCTGCCTGAAGCTTGACCTTGCCTGGCTGGGCTGGAGGAAGTGGCTCCCCCGCGGGCCCCCGAGGGGACCCTCTCTCCCTGTTTCTCGCTGCTCTGTTCCTCGCAGGATTTTCCCTCTTGAATGACCTTGAATCTAGCTTTGCCTTGGAGCCCCCAGAGGGTGCCGCTCCCGCTGCCCCGTCCCCTCCTGCCAGGTCACTCAGTGTTTTCGTCTCCCCCTAAGAGCTCGGCGGCTGAAGACTGTTAGCCTGGCAGATCGGGGGGGAGACGCCGCGCCCACCTCCGGGCTGTGTCTGCCTCTCGGGGATTGTACGTTCTAAGCCTTGTCCTGTGTCACTAGTCCGATGCGCGTGTCTATCGCTCTTTGAACCGAGTTTGGAGGAAGAATCAAATCGTATGAGTGGCGGCATGTTGGTAGTGCCGGACTTGTTTCCCGACTGTCCTGGGGCCTCGCTAATTGAACGTGGCGGTAACACCGCTTCACGGCCACGCGTGCTGACTCCTGAATTCTCCAGTGGTGTTCTCACTCTAAGGGCTGGCAGCCCACGAGGATGGGCCGGGGGAAGCAGAGCCCTCCATGGAGGCAGGCACCCCCGTCCGCGTCAGGAGACCTGACGTGATGGCCCACGACCCAAGGTGACCTGGCCGCTCTTCCCACACAGGTGCCCCAACACCGCCCCTCCCCCAGGCCCAGGCGCCTTGCTGCCAGCCCAGCCTCTTTGGGAGAAGTGTGAATGCGTGTGTCTAAATTAAAAAAATATTTAAACATTTTTTAACAAAATAAAAATTTATTTTTGTATTTAAGCTAAATTGCCTTTTAAATTCCTTCAAGCTTGGTTCACTGAGGTGGTTAAGTGTAAATGCTGACTAGGAGTAGCGTAGTGAGTTCTGCCTGTGCGTGGCCCGGGCCGCTCCTGGGGCTGTTTTAGGAACAATGTGATGTAGGCGTGACCCCCCCCCACCCCGCCTGCAGGTGTCGCGCCCGGCCACTTTACCTCAGCTGCACCTGCACAGGCAGGCCAGCGGCCAGGGGCCCCTGCAGGGCCCGAGTGAGTGAGAGGGTGAGTGGATGGCGTGCGCCGGCAGGGGCTTCCCGTTACGGACACACGGATGTAATTCCTGTTGAGTCTAGTTGGAATTTTTAGTATGAATGTGAGATTTTTCTCCTTGCTTATGTCATTAAGAATAAAAAACTGTGATCGATCTCAGGCCCTGTCCTGCCTTTTCTTTCCCGGGGACAGCCACCGGGTCCAGCCGCTGGGGGACAGCACAGCCGCTGCTACGGCCCCGGTGCGGCGCAGGGGTCACCTGCCGCTTTCCGCCGTCTCTTCTTCCTCTTGGGGCCTGGGCTGAGTGGTTCCGGGGGCGACGCTGTGGCCTGGGAGGCTGAGCTAGAAGAAACGGCCCCAAGTTACGTGTGCCCCCCGCCCCCATCCAGCATCCTCCCGGCAGGCCCCATCCCCTACCCACGCCCTCACCTGGGTACTTGCACCCTTTCGAAGACAGCAACGAAGAAGCCGCCGGTGAGGGTGGTCTCGGGGGAGGCCCGGAGGCAGTGTTCGGCACCTGGGAAAGTGCCGAGGCCTCGGTGGGGCCAGGCAGGGAGCACAGGAGCGAGCCTGCGGAGAGCAGCGGCTCAGGCCCGGGCGGGGCAAGGGCCGGGGCGGGGCAAGGGCCCGGAGGGAGGGGGCGCAGGCCGGGGCGGGGGCGACAGAGCCCGCTGCACCCACTGCCGTACCTGAAGGTGCCTGGGCTCTGCTGCAGGGCCGCCTGCACCACGTCCTCGTTCTCCTCCTGGCACAGGGAACACGTGGAGTAGACGAGGCGCTGCAGGGCGGGGAAGGTGAGCGCGTGGCACAGGGCTCGCTGCTGGAACCCCGCCAGTGCCCGCAGGCGCTCCGGGCTGGGTGCACCTGCCCCAGGCTCCTCCAGCTGTCTGGTCACCATCCCTGAGGAGGAAGAGCACATGTCAGGGATCCCAAGGCCATTGGGGAGTAGGAAACTAAAACCCAGGAGAGCCCCCACCACGCCTCCCCCGCCTCACCGGAGCCGCTGCAGGACGGGGTCCAGCAGGATGTACTCGACCTGCCGGTAGCGCTCATCGGAGGGCGACACTGCCAGGAAGTCCTTCTCAGCCAGCTCGCAGCAGGAGACACCAGCCCGCGCCAGCAGCGTGGCCATTGACGCCAGCCGCTTGGCGTCGAGATCAAAGGCAAAGATCTTCCTGGGAAGGGCAGAGGTGGGGTGACCGGGGAAGCTCAGGAGACACCGGAGAGCCACAGCTGCCAGACACACGCCAGTAACCCGAACCCAAGGCAGCGCACCCTGGGGGTCCCGAGTGGGGTACAGACCCTACCCCTCCCTCTCCTGGTCGCAGCCTCACCCCCGGTTCTTCAGAAGAGCCGCCAAGTGACTGGTCTTATTGCCTGGGGCGGCACAGGCATCGATGACGTGGGCCCCGGGTGGGGGCGCCAGCAGCGTGGCCGGGAGGCAGCTGGCCTAGCAGGACAGGGCACAGTGGCTGGGTGAGCAGAGGCCCCGGGCCGCGCACACACGCACACCCCTCCCTCTGCCTCCCGGCTTCCCCACCTTGTCCTGTAGGATGAGGTGACCGGCCTGGTACAGCGGGTGCTCGTGCAGGTCCGTGTGCGCGGGAAACACCAACAGCTCCGGCAACAAGGGATCCAGGAGAAAAGACTTGCCCTGCAGGGCCCGCAGGTCCTCCAGGCTGCCAGGAGCAAGGACCAGAGTGAGCAGCCACGCCTGAAAGGGTCCATTCACACGGCACGCGCGGAGCACGGCTCCAGAGCCAGCTGGGGCTGTCTGGCTGCTAACGCTCTTGGGAAGGCAGTGGAAGATGACCCAACACAGGAGACCCGGATGAAGCCCCTGGCTCAGCCTGGCCCAGCCCTGGCCGTTGCAGGCCCTTGGAGAGTGAACCGGCAGATGGGGTCGATCCACTGACCCCTCCTCTCCCTGTCACTCTGCCTTTCAAGTAAAGGACAGAAAATGGTTCTCGAGCCACCCAGCGTGAGTTCATGATCCCACATGCCAGCAGGGGCACGTGGGCCAGCGGCTCGGCCCGCACTTCTGCGAGATGGCAGGTGTGTGGTAACACGAGTCGGCGCGTTTGGAACACACAGCACAAACGCCAGCCACACTGTTAACACGTGAGCATGGGGCGGGGGGGCTTCACAGAAGACGGAGGGAGCGCTGCCCACTCCCCACCTGGCGTGTGAGCTCGCAGGGGGCCTCGGAGAGCGACCGGCACCTCTGGGGAGCGCAGGGGCCGCGCCAGCTGTGGCTTCAGCTCCTCCTGCTGCCGCCCGAGGAGGCGGCCTGGGAGTAGGGGCCGGCTGAGCTGCCTCTGCCCACAAGCGCCTACACCGAGGCAGTGGTGGTGTAAATGCCTACACTGGACCACACGGGCGGCCCCCATGCGAGCCGGGGAGGAACTGGGAGTGGCCGATGCAGTGCTGACAGGACAAGCCGCGACCGGCAGGGGCAAGGGCAGAGGGATCTGAGGGGTACAGGACGCGGGATTGAAGGAGCTGAGGTCGAGGTGGTGGCCCAGCTCCACTGGAGTGCAAGTCCACTTCCGATCCAGCTCCCTGCCAGTGTGCCTGGGAAGGCAGCGCGCGATGATGGCCCACGTGCTTGGGCCCCTGCACCCATGTGGGAGACCCGGATGGAGCTCCAGGCTTTGGCCTGGCCCAGCCCCCGTGGTTGTGGCCATTTGGGGAGTGACCCAGCGGATGGAAGAGTTACCTTTCGCTCTAGCCCTGTCACGCTCCCTTTTTCAACCTTTATACATATACATATACGTATGTGGGTGGGGAGGAGTGTATTTTTAAAGACTTATTTATCCACTGGTTCACTCCCCAAACGGCTGCAAAGGCCGGAGCTGGGCCGATCCGAGGCCAGGGGCTTCTCCCAGGTCTCCCTCGTGGGTGGCAGGGACACAAGCACTTGGGCCATCTTCCACTGCTTTCCCGGGCCCATCAGCTGGGAAGCGGAGCAGCCAGGACTCGAACCGGCGCCCATACGGGATGTCGACTCCGCAGGTGGCGGCGGCGGCTTCACCATATACGTTTGTATGAACGTACCAGGGGATAGGCAGGAGGCCTGGGCGGGACCCCGCGCGCAGTGCTAGCGACCCAGCCTCCCCCTGCCCAGGGCGGCCAGCTCTCACCTGGAGGCGCGACCCTGGTAGGAGAAACCTTGTCTCTTGAAATAATCCACCGCGTCTTCGGTGCAGGTCTTGAGCGTGTTCACGCGCACGAACCGCGGCACTTGGGCGTCTAGGGAGCAACCGGCAGTGAGCGCGCGCGCACGCACGCGGCCTCTCGGGCCCGCGCCGGCCCCGCTCGGACGCTGCCGGCTCACCTGGGCCAGGCTGGGCTCCCGCCTCCAGCAGCTCCTCGTTCCTGCTCACGCCGCGCCGAACCTTGAGCCGCGCCAGCTCGGCCTGCAGCCTGGCCTGGTGCCGGCGCAGCAGCGACTTCCAGCGGCCGCCGCCGCCGCGGAAACCCTTCCCCAGCAGCAGCTCGTACACCAGCACCTGCGGGTGGGTCAGCACGGGCGCAACAGCTCGGCGTGCGTGCCCCCCGCGCCCCCCACACAGAGTGCCGGACCCGCGGGGGGCTCCCCGGCCCGCACCTGCCCGGACAGGCGCGCGCCAGCCTGGGCACGCCGACCAGGTCCACACCCGCTCAGCCGCCAATCCCGCCAGGCGCTCACCTTGGCCAGGTGCGGCCGCAGCTTCTTCTCGGCGCGGAGGAGGCCCGCGCTGGCGATCACGGCGTCCAGCACGGCGGAGTAGCGCTGCGTCTCGCACACCAGCGCGTACAGCTGCTTGACGTTCTGCACGGCCGAGGGGAGAACTCGCTGGGCCGGGAGCCGGTCGACTCCCGCCCTGCCCGGGCCGCCCTGCCCGATCCCTGGCTCCCCAATTTCCTGCCCCTGGACCCCGCTACCTGGAAGCTGCTGGCGTACACCAGCCCCTTGATGGAGCCCTGGCGGCTCTCCACGCCAGCCAGCACGGCCGCCGCGGCGGCATACAGCCCCATGCTTCCCGGTCCGCACGCCTTTACGGCTCTGTCGCGAAGCGCGGCCGACTTTGCGCCCTGTCGGACTTCCGGGGCCAGAGGGCACCAGGCTTCCGGACCCGGAACCAGCGGGGGCGACTCCGCCCCCCAGAGGTGCGCGTGGGTAACTACACTGGCTGGGGTGCGGAGCGGGGCTCGCGGATCCTGTCTGCCCCCTTTGCGAGCTGTGGGCTTTGTGCTTTGACCCTTGAATGATGAGCAGGCAGTGGGGTTCCCCCGCTGTCTTTAATCTCTGTCGCGGAGGCTGACTGCACAGGTGCAGTGGCCATACGTGCTGCTCCCAGTCTGTTTCTTCTCTCGTCTGTCCCTTAGTGCTGTTATCTTAAGTATCTCTGGTCTTAGGTAGTACAGGCTTTTCCAGTTCATTGTTGCTTTGTTTAAAAAAAAAAAAAATTATTTATTTGAAAGGCAGAATTCCAGAGACAGAGGTCTTCCATCCACTGGTTCACTCCCCAAATGGCTGCAACAGGAACGGTTGAGCCAGGCCAAAGCCAGGAGCTTCTTCCGGGTCTCCCATGCGGGTGCAGGGGCCCAAGGACTTGGGCCATCTTCTACTGCTTTCCCAGGCCATAGCAGAGAGCTGGATTGGAAGTGGAGCAGCCGGGATTCGAACTGGTGCCCCTAGGGGATGCAGGCAATGCAGGCAGTGGTTTAACCCATTGGTTTATGGTGGCTTTGAAGGGACCTGGAGCCCCCGGGACAGGTCTACACTGCAGGGTGAACTTGAGCCAACCATGCACAGGCAGTGGTTACAGCCACGGGGCGGATGTGCGGATGTTAGGAGGGGGGGGGGGGGTCTGAAGGCCCTCAGAGCTTGGTGGCCAGCAGGAGAGGGCGAGGCTGCAAAGGGTGCCTGAAGGAGCTGGGAGGGGCCAGGGCTGCGTGCAAGGCGGGGGAGAGCCGTGGCGGCTGAACCACACCAGCTTCCTCAGGTGCCCGTCCCCATCTGAGAGCCACCGGGGCTTCCAGAAGCCCCCTTGCGGGCAGTCACAGTGAGGCGATGGGGCGTGGGAATTACTGGCCCCTCAGGGTTCCTTCAGCAGTGTCCAGCAGATGTGGGAGTACAGACACCCTGGCTCTGATCCCCGCCCCTCCCCGGGACTGAGCCTTCACGCTGGTCATGAGGTGGGCTTAGCAATGCCGTCCTGGCTGCCCACCTGCTGTTCTGCCAAGTCGACCTTAGAGGCCAGAGAACGGGACGGATGGCGGTGTTTCGGGAGAAGCAAGCTGGAGGAAGAGAACGAATGGTCCCTTGGGCGTAGTGACCTGGGTGTTCACTGAGTCTCTCGTCCCACATGGGAGCAGTGAGCACCAGTTTCTAAGTGTCACCAGGGGCCTGCACCGTGGTGCCGCGGGTTAAACCACCACCTGCAATGCTGGTGGAGTCCACTTCCGATCCAGCTCTGCGATGGCCTGGGAAAGCAGTAGATGGCCCAAGTGCTTGGGCCCCTGCACCCACGTGGGCGACCTGATGGAGTTCCAGGCTCCTGGCTTCGTCCTGGTCAGCACTGGCCATGGTGGTCATCTGGGGAGTGAACCAGCCCATGGAAGCTAGCTCGCTCCCTCTTGCAGCCATCTGGAGAGTGAACCACTGGATAGAAAATCTCATCTCTGTAGTTTTGCCTTTCAAATAAACAAACAACCTTTATAAAATATCATCAGGGCTATTTCAAAAACAACGCTCAGGGCTAAGGGAGCCCACTGAGACGGTAGTGGGGGTGTGCAGTGGCACCACTGCCGCCCCTGGCCCAACAGAGTAAGGGAGAGACAGGAGAGGTGCTGGGGAAGCTGCCAGCCCAGGCCCCAGAGGTGGGAACCCGGCACACACGGACTTCAGATGCCCTCCCACCTCCTGCCCAGCCCGGCTGGAAGCCATCACGGCCTCCTATCACGAGGGTGGGCAGGGTGCAGGGCGACAGTTCAGTCACGGACTGGAAGGCAGAGCTGAGTGACCAAAGGCCAGTCCCCCCTCCAAGGTCAGGCACGCAGTGGCCAAGGCCAGGGCCCGGCAGGTTCAACCAGCAGACTTAGAATGAGCCGCTTTTGGATTCAGTTTATTACACAGACAGCGAAGCGGAGCCAGAAGTGCCGGCTCCACGGGGTCCTTGAAGCGAGCCAGGAAAACGAGGGCTGGGGACGGCCACAGTACAGGAGCCAGTCTGGCTGTAGCGGAGCTGTCTCATCCCAGGAGAGGGGACAGAAAGCCTCGGACCACATCGCAGCCTCCCACTGGAGGAGAGGTGAGCCGAGATGGCCGGAGCCAGCGTCTCCCCTAGCCCTGGCGGGCTGCGCAGACAGGCGGCAGGGTGGGCCTGTGCCTGGTGCCCGCGGGGAGCCCAGGGGCTCTGCGGCAGCCCTGCATGGGACTGTGGACCCTCTCTCCAGAGGGCGGCCCAGCTCCAGCCTCTCTCTCTCTCTTCCAGTTCTCAGATTCAGGGGGAGAATCCCATTGTCCCAGCCTCCATCCGGGGTGAACACCAGCCCGTCGGCTCCCTCCCACCGGGCTGCAGCTCCTGCCTGGCCCCTGCCTGCTTCTCAGAGGCTGTCATTTTTGGCATCTGCCCGAGCGGGGGAGGGGAGTCTCTGAAGGTGCAGCAGACGGACAGGTGGGCAGGTGGGCAGGTGGTGGGCGCCAGGTGCGGCCTGAGCAGCGTGTGGGCACAGCAGGGGCAACCTGCAGGTCACCTGGAGAAACAGGGCCAACGCAGTGCCCTTGGGGGGTTTCAGGTTCACGGTGACCAGGGCGCTTCAGCCCTCAGTGGGATGGGGAAAGCGTGGCTGCAAAGGGCCAGTGGCCGCCCAGGCCTGGCGCTGATGACCCCGCCAGGGGCCAACAGAGATGCCCCTGGCTGATGGGGAAGAGACCACAGCGCCCGTCGTTAAAGTCTGAGGGACACACGGACGGGCACAGGGGCCTCCCCAGAGAGCAAAGGCATCACTGTAGGGCCTGATGGGACGCAGCTGGCTTGGACCTGCAGGCGGGCGGCCCTACAGCTTGGTGGGCTGTGGGGGGCCCAGAGGGCCGGGCCCACCGGGTGGGGGCAGGACCATGGGCAGCGAGTCGCTGGCCCTCTCATGCCAGCAGGTGTCCAGGATGGGGTAGAGCTTGCCCTGGAAGTCGGCCTGGAACGTGTAGAGGGGCCGCAGGTCATCGGGCCGGTCGGCGTCGAAGAAGGTGAGCTCCCCCTGCTCATAGTGCAGGTAGACGCCGATGCGGTGCGGGCGGCCTGCCACAGGCAGGGGCACCCGCGGGCTGGCGAAGGCCTCATACAGCCGGCCCTCCTTCAGGCCGATCAGCCACACGCCCTGCTCCGGCGACTTGCCCAGCTTGCCCTTACGGCTGGCCGTGGCCTTGATGACGCCCAGGCGCCAGTCGCTCTTGCCGCCCACCACCACCTCCCAGTAGTGGCGGCCGCAGGAGAAGCCCCGGCTGGCCAGGACGCAGGCGCTGTAGTCGAAGCCCTCGGGCTGGCTGGCGCGCCGCTGGGCCAGGAGCCCGCACTGCACCACCGTGTTGCCCTTGGACAGCTCCAGGAGTGGGTGCGCGGTGGCCGGGTCCAGCTTCAGCGACTCCGGGGCTAGGAAAGAGGCCAGAGAGAGGCTGGTGTGAAGCCGAGGGGAAGGCGGCCGGCGCTGGCCCTGGACAGCCCCCAGGGTCTCGGTGGGCCCAGGAAGGGGCTGCCTGCTGAACGGATGCCAACGACGTAAGGTGCAGAGAGCAGGCACCGAGCAGAGGGACCCGCGGATGGCAGCCACCAACAGGGGCCCAGCCCCGCCCTCTCGGCGGCCGGGAGACTCCGCAGCGCCTGCGCCACTCCGTGAGTCCCCGCTGGTCCACTGACCCCGAAATGTGCGAGCGGGCGCCAGTGAACAGCGAACACGCCGCCATGTCCTCTCCGCACCCCCTCTTTCATTTTCTTTAAATAGAACCCTGTTTCCGCTTCACTAGTGACATCAGTCCACTGAGTAAGCGCTGGCTGAGGACGAGTAAGCAGCAGGCTGGCGGCCATGTAGGAGTTAATTAAATGTCTTTGACTTGTTCTGTTTCTAAGTATTTTGCCGTTCTCACGTCTCCAGGTTTGAATTTACTTGTTTGAAAGGCAGAGAGACAGAGATAGTCCATCGGCTGGTTCACTCTCCTAATGCCTACAACAGCCAGGGCTGGACCAGGCGGAAGCCAGGAGCCAGGAGCCCCATCTCCACCTCCCCCACAGGGAGAGGGGCCCAGGTATTTGAGACCTCGATGCTGCCTCCCAGGTGCGCGGCAGCAGGAAGCTGAAAGCTGAGCTGATCGGGACGCAGCCCTGGCCCGCTGCACCACGCACACACCCCTGAGTGATCTGCACAGAGCACCAAACCTCACCTCTGACAGATGGCCTGAGGCTGACAGGCCACAGCCTGCCCGGTCCTGGCCAGTGCCGTGTGGGGCTGAGCTGGAACCCGAGTCTCGGGGGACAACCCCGCCCCCGCCCCGCGCTCTCCCCGCTGCCCACGCCCGCCCCGCTCTGCATCCCCACCGCTGAGACCTCTTCAAGAGGCGGGGCTGGGGGGGCTCACCTGGCAGAACCTTCCGGAACAGCCTTTTCCAGACGGTCAGTTTGATGTCGGCCTGGTGGAGGCCTGGCTTGAAGGAGATGGGGCTGAACGCGCCGTCCAGGGGCCGGGCCTGCTGCAGCTCCGCTCTGAGTGGGACAGGCCACACGATGGGGGGACCTGGGCCCCCACGGCCCCGCCCCACGCCAGACCCCGGGCTCAGTGGGACACCCATGATGCCTGTCGCTCCTTCCCCTCCACACCCGCCTCCTCCCTGGAAGTGGAAACGCCCCAGAGCCGTGACCCCTGCGGTGCAGGTCTGGGCGCACTGCCCGGGAACTCATCAGGAATGCAGGTCCCTGGGCCCCACCAGAGCCAGGCGGCCTGAGGCCCCACTGATATCCAGGAGCCACTCCTGGGCACCAGGCGACCCTGGCCCCGGGCGCAGCTGGAGAGGACGCCTTCCCCTAACCAAGCAGGCTCTGTCCATTCACTGAGACCAGGCTCTCCCACACTTACTGGCGCTGTGGCTAAAAGCAACCTGAACACACAAGGTGGCTGAGGGAGCCCCAGGAAGAGCGGGAATCATTCCCTCGTCAGCTGACAATGAGGGTCCACGGTCCCCGGGTCCGCAGAGCAAGTCCAAGGCCCTCCTGGCCGTCACCCAATCCCCCCAGCAACACGGACCTGCTCACAGCACCCCAAGGGCCACCCACACCTGACCCTTCCCTCGGCCCCGCTTGCGGTAGCCTGCCCTCCTGGCTGTCACACCTGTGCCCCTTAGCCGGCGCCTGCGGTGTGGCTCTGGCCTGGGGGGCCGCAGTTCACTGTCTGTCTCCCACCAGTCTGTGGGACCCCGGGAGGCAGGGACGTGGTGTTCGTGTGTTCTCCCTGGGCTCAGCCTAGGGGCCCTGGCTAGGCTGAGCGGAGGAAAGGGTGAGCCGAGGTGCCCGGGTGTTACCTGGAGGCCAGGGAGTGGTAGTTCTGGAAGACAGGAGGGCGCGGGTGAGGCCGGGGCTGGCCGTGCGAGTCCGCAGTGGGGGCTACGGGGAAGGGGCGTGGCCGCCGCCCACTCACCCGGATGAACTCGTGGTGGCTCTCGTTGCCGAACTGCTCCAGCACGCGCTCGGCCTGCGCCAGCCGCTCCTGCGCGCCCTGGGCCTGCTCCAGCTGCATGTCCAGCGAGGCCACCAGGCCCCGGGTGTGAGCTTCCACGCCGCCCAGGCAGCGGGCCTTCTCCTCGTCCACCAGGTGGTGCAGCTCCTGGAACTCACGGCGGATCACCCAGCTGAAGACGTCCGACTCGTTCTGGGACAGGGAAGGCCCGGTCACAGCACCGCCTGACCAGGGCGGGCCTCGCTGTGGGGCTGGCGGTGCCACCCGGGGGGTCGCAGGGTGGGCCACGTGGACTGCCACCTGCCAGGGAGCCCCAGAGGTGGCCGTGGACAGGCGACCACGGCAGGACCCCAGCTCTCGTTTTAAATGAGCACTGGTCGGTGTGCACTGGGGAAGAGGTGTTTGAGCATGGAGTTCCATGGCTACAAAAGACCCAGAAGGCCCTGGGAGAGCGGGCGGTGGCATGAGAGGGCCCACGGCCCCCATCTCACACCCACCCCCCAGCCCCACGCGCCTCTCACGCAGGTAAACCAGATAGCACCGAGGGCTTCTGGGCCTTCCAGGCCTGTGCCCCCCGCCGCAGGCTGCCAAGGTCAGGCAGACACAGGTGGCACTGGGCAGGGGGGTGTGGGGGGAGTCACGCTCATGCTTCGGGCTGTTTACCTCTGGGGCTCAAGTTCTGGGTTATCTCAGACGCAAGGACACGGAGGACAAAAGCGGACTTGGAGCCAGGCCTGACAACTGGGCCGAATTCCGCACCCCGCCCTGGAATGCTGTGCATTCTGGCTTTGTATGGCAAGTGCGGCTGTCGGGAAAGGACAGCGGGGTCGGGGTGCTGCTGGGGGCAGGGCCGGGGGGGGGGCACTCACGACGATCCGCGTGCGGTTGTTCACCAGTTTGGCAATGTGCTCCTCCACCTTCTTCTGCTCCTGCTTCAGGTCGGAGATGAGGGCTGCCAGATTCTCCTGGAGACGGCGGCCAGGGCCCCGTGAGCGGCCGGCCCTGCCACCACACTACTCCCTGGGGCCTCCCGACAGCCATGAGTATCCCCGGTGGGAGTACCCAGAGCTCCCCAGGACAGCTGAGAGCACTCAGGAATGTGCCGCACTGGGTGTCACGGGGAGAGATGAAGGGCACGGCCACCGGGGCGCCCCACACGGTGCCCGTACCACATCCTGGCACCAGCAGGTCCCCGGAGAGGGGGCCGATACTGCAGCAAGAGCCCAGGAAGGCGCCCCTGCGGCGAGGCTGGTTCTGCGGCCGGTGTAGCTGCCCCAGCCAAACCTGGTTCCCCTCTCCCTATCAGCACTGGAATTCATCCCCAGCCCCCTTGGGCCCAACCTGGACTGGAGGCCCCTCCAGGCTGCCCCAATCCCGCTGCTGCCTGCCAAGGCCTCGGGCAGCTGAGAGAGGCCCGGGAAGGGCACAGTGATGGCCCCCAGCCCCAGGTGGAGACTCAGGGCCCCGGGATAGCAGGTGCACTCGCGGACTGATGAAGCCATCGCTCAGGCAGCCCACCATCTCAGTGGGCACACAAAGACAGGGAGGCCCGGACGGGAGCAGACCGGAGAGGGAAACCTCAGGCCGGCCCTGTGGTGCTGTGGGCTAAACCTCTGCCTGCAGCACCGGCATCCCACATGGGCGCTGGTTCGAGTCTCGGTTGCTCCACTTCCCATCCAGCTTCCTGCTAACACATCTGGGAAAGCAGTGGGAGACAGCCCAAGTGCTTGGGCCCCTGCACCCATGTGGTGGACCCGGAAGAAACTCCTGACTCCTGACTGTTGCAGCCATTTGAGGAGTGAACCAGCAGACAGAAGGCCTCTCTCTGTCTCTCCCTCTGTAACTCTGCCTCTCAAATAAATAATCTTTTTTTTTTTAAAGGAGAGAGTGAAACCTCACACCTTCGTCGCAGAGTTGTGGGGTGACAGGAACCCCAATCCGAAATGGGGACCAAGCAGGGGTCAGAGGGGATGGACGGGCTCCGGGGTTTCCTTCTCTCCGGGTGACCTTGGGCTCTCCCTCCACACTCCCGGCCCTTCAGTGCCCGCTGGCCAGCCCCTGGGGAGCGGACTCACAGCACTCCATCCCGCAGCTGTGGGAAGCAGCATCCCTGCCCCGGGCAGCCTCCACCCACCTCCTTCCCAGGGTTCCCTCGTTCCCACATCATCTGAGTTGGCCACCTACAAAGGTGCTGCCGGTGGCAAAAAGCAACTCGCTAGACACTGGGGCCAGGCCCCCGGGGGGCAGGGATTCACCGGCAGGCACCGTGTGCCGGGCTCGGCGCCAGGCACTGAAACGCGAGGGCACGGCCCAAAGTTCACGGCACGTGGAAGGGTGCGCTGAGCTGGTTTTGCTGCGCGAGGGCTTCGAAGTCCCTGCACAGTCGCTTCCTGGAACAGTTTCCCACGAACTTCCTGAAGACCCCTCTCACGGCCTGGATCGCAAAACTCGCTGCACCGCAATAAACTCATCTTTTAATCCTCTTTTCCACGAATCTCTCAAGTCCCCTCCTATGCCAGGGCACAAGCCACATCCTCCCAGGGTGCAGCCAGGGGAACCCTCAGGAAAACCCTGGGGCACAGGCCAGCAGGTGGCGCCAAGATACTCTCCCCAAGGTGGGCTCCACCGAAGCCCCCCGGCCGCTGGTTGGAGCTCAGCACCGATCGACGCGCCGGCAGGAAATGGAGCCACATGGTGGCGCCAGAAAGCCCAGGTGCGGGCCACAGGCTCCCCGGGGAAGCCTCCCCCTCCTCCGCGGCCCCGTTTCCCACCTTCATGCGGCTGTAGACGGTGGAGACGGGCGTGACCCGGTGGTGCTGGTGGGAGCCCAGCAGGCCACACAGGCCGCAGATGAGCTCCTGGTCCTGCTCGCAGAAGAGGCTGAGCGGGTTGCGGTGGTGCGCGCACACGCTGGGCTCCGGCTCCTCGGGCAGCTGCAGGGCCTCGATGACCCGCGCCAGGGAGACGTTGGGCGGCGAGCTGCTGCAGTCCGCCGGCTGGCGGCACACGGGGCAGCGCAGCTCCGAGTCCAGGTGGCGCGACAGGGCCAGCAGGCAGTCCTTGCAGTAGGAGTGGCCGCACTGCAACATCAGGGGCTCCCTGAAGACCTCCAGGCAGATGGGGCACTGCAGCCGGTCCTCCAGCTGGGGCATGCTCACCTGCCAAGCCATCCACGCTGCAGCCTGCAACCAGGCCAGCCCTGTGAAAACCGACTGGCAACGAGACGTAAAAGCCCCAAGGCCAGCGACAGACCCTGGCAGGACCCCAGCACCGCACTACCTGGGGCCTCACAATCCGCTGGGCCTCAAAGCAACATCACAGACGCGGCCGCTGGGCCCCTTCGTCCTCCCGGGATGGGACAGCAGGCACCAAGACCCGGGTGGTGAAGCTGGACGCCTACCTGGCTGCCCGGTCTCCGCCCCTTACCCGGAGACACGCCCCTCCCCAAGGTCACCAGGAATCAGGTGGAAAGTGGGTCACGTCACGGGACTGCTGGGCCCGCTCTGATAAGTGCGACATTCGGCTGCTGGCCTTGGCCGGGGCTGGGGGAGGGGGAGGGGCGCCGGCAGAGGGGCAGGGCCTGCCGTCCACACCCGACAACCTGGTGGGAGAGGTTCTCAGAAGTGTTTAGAAACAGAGCGTTCTAGAACGGCAGACCGCGGTCCCAGCAGGCCTCTGTTGGCCAGCGACAGGCAAGCCCCAGGTCTAAGGTAGGCAGGTGGGATCCGCAACGTGTCAAGCACCAAGCTGAGTGCCAAGAGTCGGCAGAGAATGAGACAGAGGCCCTGTCCCTTGGAAGTGGAGAATACAGCGAGGGCAGGGCTGGCATTATCTAGGTAAGTCCCGTGCAGGAAGTAAGCGGGGTGAGAGGGAGGGGGAGGTGAGGGACCGCCTGAAAAAGTGGCGGAGTTAACACCTAAAGGGTGCAAAGCAGGCAGACACTGCAAAGGCTGTGCGTGCAAAGGCCCTGAGGCTGGAAAGGCTTGGCAGGTGAGAGACAGGAGGGTTCTTCAGAAAGTTCACGCGGGCAGGGGTTGATCCCAGCAGGAAGATGCCCACGTGCCACACTGGACCGCCTGGCTTCGAACCCCAGCCCCAGCTTCCCGGGAGACAGTGGTGATGTCCAAGTCGCCCGTGTGGGAGACCTGGATTGAGTTCCAGTCTCCTGGCTTCAGCACCAGCCACTGCAGACGCTGGAGGAAGGAACCAGCGTATGGAAACTGCCTCTTTGTATTTCTGCTCTGCAAATAAAAATTAAATTACATGCACCCCCAAATCAGACCGCATTCCTCTCTCAGAAGCCCTCCAGTAGCGCCCACGAATGCTGGCTTTCCCTGTCAACCCCTCCAGTCTCATGTCCTGAGGTTTCAATGTCAGGCATTGAACAGAGAGGATAGAGGTTCAGTAAGAGGCCGCCCTGCCCCCCCCCCACAGGAATCACACTTCAAGGGGCCGGCATTGTGGGGTAGCAGGTACAACTGCACCTGTGATGCCAGCATCCCATATGGGTGCTAGCTCATGTCCCAGCTGCCTTGCTTCTAATCCAGCTCCCAGCTGATGGCCCAAGTGCTTGGGACCCAGCACTGGCCACTGTGGCCATCTGAGGAGTAAACCAGCAGATGGGAGATCTCTGTCTCGTTCTTTCTCTGTAACTCTTTCAAAATAGGGGCTGGCGCTGTGGCATAGCAGGTAAAGCCGCCACCTGCAGTGCCAGCATCCCACAAGGGCATTGGTTCGAGTCCCAGCTGCCCCACTTCCGATCCAGCTCTCTGCTATGGCCTGGGAAAGCAGAGGAAGATGGCCCAAGTCCTTGGGCCCACGTGGGAAACCTGGAAGAAGCTCCTGGCTCCTGGCTTCGCATGGTCCTAGCTCTGCCCATTGTGACCATTTGGGGAGTGAGCCAGCAGATGGAAGACCTCTCTCTTTCTGCCTCTCCCTCTCTAACTCTGCCTCTCAAATAAATATATAAATCTTAAAATAAATAAATAAACAAATAGATAAATAAAAAGGGTGGCCTCTTTATTTATAAATAAATAAAAAGGTGACAGCCAGCAAGGAGACGGGGACCTGCAGGGAGCTGGATTCTCCCCAGAGTGTCCAGTCCAGCCTTGCTGCCACTCTGATTCTAGGCTGGGGAGAACAGCACTGGACTTCTACTAAAGCAGGTGTAGTTTCCTGCAGAGCTCCGTGCTACTCTGTTGCAACAGTGATAAAAACTCAGAAGGCAAAAGAAAAAAAAAAGTAGTTAAAGGTCGGAGTGATCAAGTGTACCCACTGTTGGGGCCCGCCTTGTGGCAGAGTGGGTAAAGCTGCTGCCTGAGATGCTGGCACGGGCCTCGGTGTGAGTCCTGGCTGCTCCACTTCCGATCCAGCTCCCTGCTAATGGCCTGGGAAAAGCACCAGATGACCCAAGTGCCTGGGCCCGGGCACCCACGTGCGAATCCCAGCACAGCCCCAGCCACCGTGGTAGCCATCTGGGGAGTGAACCAGTGGATGGAAGACCTCTCTGTAGCTCTGCCTTTCAAATACAACAACAAAAGAGAGGGGGGAGGCTTTAAGGCAAGCAGAAGCCGCAGGAAATGAACCCGAAGTCAAGACAAGAGACAGACCCGGGGAACAGCCAGGAGCCAATCAAGAGCCCTCCTTAATCCCAAGGGGCAGGTGCAGCAGGTTCTTATTTAGCAAGCTGGGGTACCTCGCCTCTCCTCCCAGGGCCCGGCGGCTTGACGCCCAAAGTCCTCTCCTGGACCCAGCGGCCCCCGAAAGGCAACAGAGCAGGGAAGCAGCACGCGCCCCTGCCAGCCTGCTCCAGCCCCCGGCCACGCCTCCGTCCGGTTCCCGGCGCCCTCCCCACGCCCTCCACCACACGCTCCACGTCTCACTGGCCACGGCCTGCGCCCCAGCACGCGCCCCAGGCCACAGGCTCTGCCGGCCCTTGTCACCTGCGCTCCGCCGCCCTCGGCGCGCACGTCCCCGGTGCGCGCTCCTTGCCCCCTCACGAAGGTGTACGTGCTCCCGTCATCACGCTCTGCGTGGCCCCAGTCACGTGTCCCCCACTCCATCAGCCCTAGCACGCACCCCATCCGCCACTGCGGGCCGACGCACATGCGCACACCGCGGTCACGTGCCCGCGGCGTTCCAGCCCCAGGCACGTGCTCCCCGCGCGTGCGACAGCGCGGGCGGCGGTTGCAGCAACGGCATGAGCGGCTTCGCGCGGCCCCGGAACGGCATGGCGCCGTCGGGAGAGGACTGCTTGGTATAAATGGGGGCGGTGGGGCAGGGCCCGGCAGGCTCGTGGCGGGGGTGGGGGTGGGCTGTAAGGTCGTGGGGTGCGGTCCGCCGAGGGCCTGGGGCTCGCAGCGGGGCTGGGGCCCTGAGGCCCGCCGTCTTGCGGTCTCCGGCAGTCCGTGTACCAGCGGTTGAGTCAGCGGATGCTGGACATCTCCGGGGACCGCGGCGTGCTCAAGGACGTCATCCGGGAGGGCGTCGGGGAGCTGGTGACGCCCGACGCGTCGGTGCTCGGTACCACGGGGACCAGGCCCCCGCGTGAGCCCTCTGGGGTGGGCGCGGGGGCGGGGGCTGCGCTCACAAGGCGCGTGCGCGACGGCTGTGTTTGCCTTTGCGATAGGGGGAGAGGGAGGGCCTAACCCCCCCCACGAAACCTCCCGGAAGGGACCCCCTGGACCCCCCTCACGGGAAGGGACTCCCCCCGGGAGGGACCCCCCTCCCCTGCCTCCCATCCCCCCCCCACTGCCCATCCCCCATCTCCCTTTTGTCAGAGCCCATGAGGGGCCCCGCTGTGGGGGAGAAGGAGCAGGTGTCTCTGCGGGGGGCTCCCTTACATTTTCATTATTTCTTTTTTTTTTTTTTTCCTCCCCTTCCGGGTCCCAGTCAAATATTCTGGCTACCTGGAGCACATGGACAAACCCTTCGATTCCAATTGCTTTAGGAAGTCTCCACGGCTCATGAAACTTGGAGAGGGTAAATGCCCCCCCCGGGGGGGCGGCCGGGGGGCGGGGTGGGGGTGGGGGTCCCACCGCCCAGTGCTTTGAGGCTGGAGTGTGGTCAGGCAGTCACACTCTCCCCCCTCCCCTCCGTGTTTGCCTTTGAAACCTGGGTGTCTGAGAGATGGCCTGCCTGGCAAGGTTGCCTGTGGGCTTCTGTGTCCTGTTTATCAAGTGGACGTCTTGCAGACACACTTGGGAGGAGAGAAGACTACTCGAGATCACAGCTTTTTTTTTTTTTTTAAAGACTTGTTTATTTATTTGAGAGGGAGAGACAGAGAGAGGTCATAGATCTGTCGGTTCACTCCCCAAGCTGGGCCGATCCGAAGCCAGGAGCCAGGAGCAGCTGCTGGGTCTCCCACGTGGGTGCAGGGGCCCAAGCACTTGGGCCATCTTCTGCTGCTTTCCCAGGCCATTAGCTGGGAGCTGGATTGGAAGTGGAACAGCTGGGACTCGAACCAGTGCCTATGTGGGATGCCAGCTCCGCGGGTGGAGGCTTAGCCCACTGATGCAACAGCACCAGGCCCACGATCCGCAGCTGCTTTCCTACTAAGGACTTCACCAGGTGGTGGAAACTGACCCATGGTCAGGCGACCCCTGGGGGAGAGTCAGATGAGGGCCTGGGAGTTAGCAGCCTTGCAGGTGTGCTTAGCAAAGCCGCACCTCGCACGGGGAACCTTTTTTCTGCCAGAGGCCATTTGGCTATTCACAGCCTCACTCCCTGGCCGCAGGAAATTCTCCACTTGGGCATCTCTTGCAGACATTACGCTGTGGGGCATGGAGCTGGGCCTCCTGAGCATGCGCAGAGGAGAGCTGGCCAGGTTCCTGTTCACGCCCACCTACGCCTACGGGGCGCTGGGCTGCCCGCCCCTCATCCCCCCCAACACCACCGTCCTGTTCGAGATCGAGCTGCTGGACTTCCTGGACTCGGCCGAGTCGGACACGTTCTGCGCCCTGTCTGCGGTAAGTGGCTGTGGGTGCTGGGCGGCTCCCTGCAGGCTTGGCCCAGGCCCCGCACCTCCGCTTCCTGGTGCCCGCCGTCGGCTCTGGGGCAGCACCTTGGGCTCACAGCCACCCTTGGCCTTGTCGCCACGAGACATCGTCAGCAGTAAGCGTGGCGTCTCAGCAAGGACATCTGTAACTGTCCTGTCTGGGGCTTGTGACTGAAAGGGGCTGGTAACCGACTGGGATACCTGGGCCAGCGGGTGGAGACCGGGCCGGGCCCGGCAAGCCAGGGTACACAGTCACTGTGCCTCACAGCCTCACACTCAGCCCCGTGCCTCGCTCTGGGCCTGCCAAGCCCATCAGCAGTCGTGGGCACTGGCTTCGGCACGATAGTGCATCTTACTCTGGCACATCCGGGTTCCACCGCTGGTGCCCGACTTAGGGTCTCTGGGCCGGGGCCGGGACCGGGAGCCCTGTGGGTGATTCTGATACGTAGCCAGGGCTGCGCTGCGTGACCATGCAGGCTACCAGGGCTCTGGGCATGGCAGCGCCATTCGCTGCTTGTTGGCTGCATCGAGGCCGGGAGCCCTGATCCCTGTGCTTGGTGGGTTCCCCCAGCTCCTAGCTCCAGGGCAAGTGCTGCTTCGGAGAACAGGGTGGGAGGGCTCCAGCTGTGGATTGGCCTCGGCCCCGCCCCGCGAGGGGCCTCTGCACACACGGGAAGTGGTTGACAGCTTGTCATATAAGAGAGCCACCCCCTCGGGGCAGGATGGTTTTTGGGGTCCACTGCTGGTCATTCTTATCTGGTCTCCAGGAGCAGCAAGACCAGTTTCCACTTCAGAAGGTCCTAAAAGTGGCAGCCACGGAGCGGGAGTTTGGCAACTACCTTTTCCGCCAGAATCGTTTCTGTGATGCCAAAGCACGATACAAGCGGGTAAGGGTGCTGGGGAGGCCGAGCGTCAGTGCAGCTTTCCAAACCATGGGCCGCTGCTTTCCCCTTCTGGCCGCCGTGGTGGGGAGCGTACCTGCTCCTGCTCGCCATGGCTTCTCACGAGAATGTCAGAAGCCGAGACAGAATCGCCCCATTCCACAACGATTCGAATGAGAGTGGGCGATGAAATCTGGTATGACGCCAAGAAGTGACAGGGAGAGGAACCAGGCTGGGTCTCCAAGGATCACACTTGAGTGGATGGCACACAGTGTCAAGGTCATTACCCTAACCGTGGCAGGCTGGACAGCTGGCCATGTTTGATCAGCACCGGGACTAACGGATTGGTTCAGTAAGGAATACGTGAGACCTTTGGAACCTCAAAAAAAAAAAAAAAGCAGAAGAACCATGAGACTTGTCTTTCTTGCTCCTCTTCATGGGCAGCCATTAAGAAAATCTCATTTTAGGGCCAGTGCCGCAGCTCACTAGGCTAATCCTCCGCCTAGCGGCGCCGGCACACCGGGTTCTAGTCCCAGTTGGGGCGCCGGATTCTGTCCCGGTTGCCCCTCTTCCAGGCCAGCTCTCTGCTGTGGCCCGGGAGTGCAGTGGAGGATGGCCCAGGTGCTTGGGCCCTGCACCCCATGGGAGACCAGGAGAAGCACCTGGCTCCTGGCTCCTGCCATCGGATCAGCGCAGCGCGCCGGCCGCGGCGGCCATTGGAGGGTGAACCAACGGCAAAGGAAGACCTTTCTCTCTCTCTCTCTCTCACTGTCCACTCTGCCTGTCCAAAAAAAAAAAAAAGAAAGAAAGAAAATATCATTTTAAAACCCCTCACGGTGCAGGGGAAGGCCTAGGAGAGGGAGCACGGAGGGGCGCCCCCGTGACGTGCGTCTTGCGTGGGTTGTGAGTGCGCGGAGCTGTGCGCCCTGTGCTGACCGCTGAGTTTATATTCTTTGGTAACAAGACTCTGTTGCTGCAAAAACTCAAGTGGAAGAGAGAGACCAGCTAGCGTCTCGGTCTCGCCAAGCTCCTGGCTGTGAGGGAGCTGCCTCCCTGGGTGGTGCTGACCGCGACTGGGTTTCCTCTCTGGTTTGCGGCTTGAGCAGGTTGTTCTGAGCGCTTCCTGTGTGCCAGTGTGTACTTGGGCTCCAGGGGCCCAGGACGGTGTTCTGCTGAAAGCAGTAGCGCTGACAGCCCCTGGACTTGGGATTTCCCACCAGACTTCTGAAGGGAGCGCCCAGGGCTGCCAGAGCGCTGGCTCCGAAAAGCCGTCAGGGTCCCGGAGGCCCACCCTTCCCGGGTGCTAGTTCTCCGCCCAAGGAGGTCCCCCATTCCGTCACGCCGCAGGGTCATCAGGCCGCCAGAAGCGAGATGAGTCTGCTGTGTCTACATTCAGAACTTTCCAGAAGTCTCCCCCTACCCGCCAGTGACTTTTTAGCCCCGTTGGCCTGACCCGTGTCGCATACCCTCAGCTGTGCGGGCCTCTGGGCTGGGGTGTGGTGGGAGGAGAGGGCCCCAGGTCCCAGGGAACCATATTGGCCACGTGAGAAGGCACAGGCCTCGGCTTTGGGATGGCACATCTCAGCACCGTGACTTGTCAGGCTTCCCGGAAAACACCACTTGGCGCCCTCTGTCCGCCAGTCCTAGTGCCTGGTCCCCTGAGGCTGTCTCTTCAATGGTGCCTGCTGCCCGATTTCAGACAGACGCTGTCCGAGGATGGGCTCGGGGGCCCTTGCGACCTGGAGCTGTCCCTGTGGGACGTGAGGCTGCCACTCTTCTGCCGCGCCACGTGGCTTGTCCCAGCCTTGTCACCACGGCTCTGAAAGTCGGCCAAGGGTCCGTACACGGTCCGTACAGCTGTGGAGCCTCTGCCTCGTCCTCTCTCAGTCCCGCTCATGTGCGACTTTCCCCATGGCGGTAGAAAGCGCCTTTGCGCGGTCCTCCAGGCGGGCCGAGCCTCCCCCGCCAGCCGCCGGGTTTCTGGGGCAGTGCCGCACACTCGGGTCAGGCTGGAGGTGCCGGGCCCTCTGCACAGCTCCTGCCCCGCGGCTGCCCCGCGGTGCTGGCCTGTGGCTTTCCCATCCTTTTTCTCGCTGCGCCCATACCGCTTTGTTCTGATGGAGTCCCTTGGCGTGGGCTCGGCAGACGCTTAGCTTTTGTAGTCCTCGGCTTGCCGTGGAGAGGTCTGGGTTGTCGTCGCTTTCCTTCCTACGTGACCTTTCTGCTTCTCCGTAGAGAAGCAGGATTTTAGGAGGGGTTTCCACCAGCGTTCCTAGGTTTTACAGTGGGGTGGGGTGTGAGAGTGTGTGTGTGTGTGTGTGTGAGTGTGGGGGGGGCGCCCTGAGCCCTCGGTCTCTGTCTTTCATTTCTCCTCGACCCTGGGACATGGTGCTCAGTTCTTTCTTTACTCACTCCTGTGTGTCTCGTGTGCAGATCAGACCTCGTGCACTGAGCGGTCCCCGGCTCCCAGCGTGCCCCCCTTTTCTGGCCCACCGTCTGCGAGCTTTCCTTGACGTTTTAAAACCATCTCTTCTAATGAATTTTTCATTAAAATGTTTTCCAAGGACCCTTTGTTCTATTTTTTCCCCAGATTTCTGTTCTTATTTTACGCATGCATTATTTTCTCTTTGATTCTTTGTGATTATAATTTTTAGATTTTCTTCCCTGTGTCTTTTAAATCTCAGTCCTTTTTCTGTGTGTTCCGTGCCTTGGAGAATGTGGCCCTGGGCATTGTTCGTAGCAAGTCACAGAGACACGGAATAGCAGTACCCTAAACTCAGTCCCTCTCTCAGCACTGTCCCAGGCCGGGGGCACGCACACCACGCCAGGCTGGGCCAGGCTGGCAGATGCCGGTGTCCGGTTGTGTGTGCCCTGCCCGAAAATGCCCATTCCTGTGGAAGCAGAACGGCTCAGGGATGCAGGAGGCCACACACACACACACACACCCAGCCAGGCTTCCCTCAAGTCACCAGGGAGCTTCGGCTGACTGCCAAAGATTTCTTCAAAATATTGATTGTATTCATTTGAAAGGCAGAATGGGAGGGGCGGGGAGGAGAAACAGACAGACAGACAGACATCCTCCATCTGCTGGTTCACTCCCCAAATGGCTGCAACGGCCGGAGCTGGGCTGGGCCAAAGCCAGCAGCTTCATCCAAGTCTCCCATGTAGTGTAGGGGCCTAAGCACCTGGGCCATCTTCCATTGCTTTCCCAGGTGCATTAGTAGAGAGCTGAATCGGAAGCAGAGCAACCAGGACTCGAACCGGTGCCCATATTGGATGCCAGTGTTGCAGGTGGCGGCTTGACCTGCTATACCACAGCACTGGCCCCAGCCACTGAAATTCGCGAGAAGCGTGGGAGAGCAGATGGGCCACTGCAGGGACATGGTGGGTGGGTGGCCGTGTGGCCAGGTAGGGTGTTATGTGTAGGAGCGCAGTTTCTGGATCACATGGGAACTCCATGTTTATGACTTTGGGGAGCTGTGCCAACCTGCAGTCCCACAGCCACGTCCAGGGTTAGAACTGCTCCCCATCGTTGTCAGCACTATTTCACATTTTACCAGTTAAAGCCAGGGCGCCGGCGCTGTGGCGTAGCGGGTAAAGCCACCGCCTGCAGTGCCAGCATCCCACATGGGCACTGGTTCTAGTCCTCGCTGCTCCACTTCCAATCCAGCTCTCTGCTAATGCATTTGGCAAAGCAGTGGAAAATGGCCTAAGCTTTATCCTGGTGTCTCACGTAGGTACAGGGGCCCAAGCACTTGGACTGTCCCCAGCTGCATTCCCAGGGGCATTAGCAGGCAGCTGGATCCAAGTGGGACAGCCAGGCTCAAACCAGAGCCCATATGGGATGCCAGCATTGCAGGCGGCAGCTTAACCCATTGTGCCACCATGCCGGCCCCGATGTTCTTTCCCAAGTGTTTTGGCTATTTGGGATAACCTGGATTTCCATGTGGAGATGTCCTTGTCCTTTTTTGCGAGAAGGCTCTTTAAACGTTGGCACTGGGTGCGTTGACTCTATGCGTTGGTGAGGGCGAGGTGAGGGGAAGCCTTCCACCCCATGAACATGGGACAGCTTCCATTTCTGTAGGTCATCTTTCATTTTCCTTTTTTTTTTTTTAACGTGACACACGATGGCGTGTGCTTACGGAGTGCAGTGTGGCATTTCAGCACGTGTGTATGGTGTGTCCCAGGCGATCCAGACTAGCTGGCTGTTCCATCTCCCGCACGTTTCTCTGTGGCTGCAGCCACCAGCTCTCCTAGGTGCCCACGTAGTACGTAGTAGCCTGTGGGGGCCTGAGCCGCTGGGCTGTGTGACGCAGAACTTACTCCTCCTGCCCGCCCGTGTTCTGGCACCCATTGTCCCACCTCCCTGCAGCCCCACCCCACCCCCTCGCCTGTGTGTGTGCACCACGTTTTCTCCCACATCCACCTGTTGAGACGGCGCGGGGGATTCCCTGCTTGGCTGCTGAGAACGGTGCTGCCGTGAACATGGGAGTGCAGGTGTCTCCTGCCCAGAGTGCGTTCCTTCTCTTTGGGGACGCACCCAGAAGAGGGGAGGCTGGATCCTGTGTGGGATCTGGTTTTGGTGTTTGAGGAGCCTCCATACTGTCCGCCGTGACGGCCGGGGTGGTTTGCATCCCCCCAACAGTGTGCTGAGGGCCCCTCTTCTCCCTAGCCTTGCCAGCGTTGGTTTTTTCTGAGTTTCTAACTGGCATTCTGACACAGATGAGACGATGTTACGGTTTCTGTCTTCACTTCCTTGATAGCTAACGACACGGGATGTTTGCTCACGTGCTTGCTGGCCTTTTATATTCTGAGAAATGTCTGTCCCGCTCATCTGCCCGTTTGAACGATGGTGTCCTGGGCGTGCTGGGTGTCGGTGCCTGTGTCAGGTGTCCGTTCCCCCCGTCCTGCCAGTGCCCTCTGCCCTCTGGATTGCGCCCTGGGCCCTGCTCTCTCGGCAGCATTCTGTCGTGTGCACTGTACAAGCGTTGCACTTCTTTTAACTGCATTGCTACTCCTTTTATTTTTTATGCTATTTTAAATAGATTTTTCTCACTGTCGAGCTGAGTTATTGAATCTCATTTAGAGTACAGAAGTAGTGCTGACTTCGACATACTGCGGTCTCCCTGAATGTGTCTGTCAGCTTGAACAGTGCGTCGTGTGCGGGTTTTAGGGACACGCACAGCTGTGCCTCCTCAGAACCGTCCGCCCTCTCTCTCGCCAGGCCTTGCTGCTCCTGCACCGGCGGTCGGCGGCCCCCGGGGAGCAGCACCTGGTGGAGGCCGCCAAGCTGCTTGTCCTCCTCAACCTGTCTTTCACGTACCTGAAGCTGGAGCGGCCGGCCCCGGCGCTGTGCTACGGCGAGCAGGCTCTGGACATCGACGACAAGAACACCAAGGCCCTGTTCCGGTGCGGACAGGTGAGCAGACGCCCAGGAAGGGCGTCTCCCTCCCAAAACAAGGACCATGTGTTGCTTTTCTTGCTGAAGTGTTGTGAATTTACAAAGCAAAGCAGAGGGTTCAGAGGGCGCAGACTGCTTAGCTGGGGCGGGGTGTGGGGTGTGAGAGCGTCCTGGCGCCGTCTCGCCTCCTGCGCCACGCGCCATGCGTGTGCCACGCGTGCTCTCGAAGCCTCTGCCTCGCCGCAGGCCTGTCTCCTCATGACTGAGTACGAGAAGGCCCGGGATTTTCTCGTCCGAGCCCAGAAGCAGCAGCCCTTCAATCATGACATCAACAGCGAGCTGAAGAAGCTGGCCAGGTGAGCGTGGCGGGGCGAGCGGGGGGCTCACGTCCCCACCGCGGCCCCCCGGATGCCAGCTGTAGGGAAGACTCTGAAAGTGGCCATGTGACCGTGGGTGTCTCCCCAGCGCCCCTCACCTGGGGCTGGAGCGGCTGTTTGCAGGGGTGTTCCGTCCCTCTGCAGCCTTCCGTGGGGTCAGACTGGGAGGTGTGCGCAGCCCCTCTGCCTCCCGCAGCCCTCTGTTCAGAGGAGGGCTTTTCGTCCCGGGGCTCCCTTCCCCGCCCCCTACCCCTCTGGTCACTTCCTCCAATTCCAATTCCTGATGGAGGGCTGGGGGCCACATACTGCCTTCCCTGACCCCGCGATTCTGCCCGCAGCTGCTACAAGGACTACACGGACAGAGAGAGGGAGATGTGTCACCGGATGTTCGCGCCATGTGCCAACGGCCCGGCCGTGGCACAGCACTACTGAAGGTAGTGGCTGGCGGGGGTGACCCCGGATGGACCCCTGGGGGAGAGTGGGAGGAGACAGACCCACAGCTCACGGAGGGGCCCTGCCGGAAACATCACCCAGACGTTCGGGGGCTTGACCTTCGCGATTTAAAAAAAAAAAAAAATGTGTTGGTGCTGTACGCTGAACTGTGCTCACGGCTGCCTGGAGCGTGAGGCCCCGCGTGTGGGCCTTGGTGTAACGATGTCACTGGGCCTGGAGGTGAAGTCAGGCTCTGCTTAGTCCGGGGATTCTGAGACCCTGGAGACCACCAGCCCCGCTCTGCTCCTCAGCGCAGGGACAGCACAGGTGTCCCGGCTGGGGCTGGGCCGAGGCTCCTGCACGAACCTCACAGGAGCCAGCAGGGGGCAGCACCTCGGGCGCAGGAGATAACCTTTCATGCAAAGAGAGGCACCTGTGTGACACCTGCGTAGCTGGGCTGGTCCTGAGAGAATCCAGCAGGCAACAATAAGTACACAGCTGCCGACCGGCTCGGCCTCCCTTTGTGGCTGCCGCATCTCCCCAGCCGAGGGGCGGCAGCTGTGAAAAACCCACTCAGCCCCTGCACATGCGCACGCGCAGGATCTGCCATCAGGTGCATCCCGTGGTGTGAGAAGTCAATGTCGCGCCACTGCCCTCCCCTCCACACCTGTGCCGCTGACCCTGCCACCCGGCTTCTGGTTGGTGCCTGGGGACGTGTGCTTCTGGCCCGACGCTAGCCATGGGCTCGCTGCGAGGCGAGGCGTCCATCGATGTCCCATGGGACACTGGGAGCTGCGGCCTCACATTCTGGGCTGTGGCGGGCCTGCTGAGCTGTCAGTGAGACCCGGCTCTCCCTGGGCCGCCCCAGAACCGGGCCTGGGCCGCAGGCTTCCTCTGCACCTGCTTTACCCCCGGCCTTCCTGTGTGTGAGGCGTCAGAGGGTGACGATGCGTAGATTGTTTCCTGTGTATTTATAACCCTCAGCTGTTGATCGTGTCAGTGGAGAATGCATTGGGGCCAGAATGGCCACGGTGGCCGCGTCCCCTCTGCTGGCCACGTTGTGGCGTATTGTAGTTGTGTCTTTGATCTTTTTCCAGCTTCCCTGTTTGTGTGCTGTTCTTGTGGCCTCTGTGTCTGAGAGGCTAAAAATACAGTCCTCTGGACAAGCTAGTCTTAACTCACTGGGATCATTTCAGATGATGCTTTATATATTTTAAAGAGGTGTTTGAAAGGCAGAGTGCTACAGAGAGGGAGAGAGGAAGAGATTTCCCGGCTACCAGTTCATGCCCCAGATAGCCTTAACGACCGGGGCTGGGCCAGGCCAAAGCCAGGAGCCTGGGACGGCATCCAGGTCTCCCACGTGGGTGGCGGGGGCCAAGAACGTGGACCATCTTTGCTGCCTTCCCGGGACCATAGCTGGAGAAACGGGAGCAGCCGGCCCAGGAACCAGCACCCGTATGACATGCTGGCGCCGCGGGAGGCAGTTTAACTTGCTGCCCCTCTGCTGTATGCTCAGATGTTAGCTACGGACTCACAGGGCTCGCTCTGGGGAGCAAGTGTCCTCTCAGGCACAAGCCAGACCTGTCCCCATGGCGGGCCGAGGGCACCGTCGTCTCTGTCCGTGTACCCTCTGGCACCCAGGAGGCGTGGCTAGTGTTCGGGAAGCAAGGGTTGATGCAGCGTAGAAAGCTAGTGGTCATGAGAAATGCAGCCTCTGGGCTGGCTGGCAGGCTGTTATGGTCAGTGACGGAGGCCCACACTTAGCGTCGGCCAGGAAAGAGACGGGGGCCATGGGAGCAGCCCCCAGAATCCAGGCAGCGACTGCAGGTGGACAAGGGCTTCGGGAACGCGGCCTCTGCTTCCCTGCCCTGCCGCCTGACGCACCAGGCGCTGGCCCGCAGCCGGGCCGGGAACCTCACCCCTCCCAGCATCAGTGAGGGACGTGAAAGGGGGCTCGGATGGGCACGATGGCAGCAGGAGACAGCCGTGGAGCGGCGGGGGAGCTCCTGCAGTGCCTCCTGTTTGTGTGGGCCCAGCCGCCACTCCTCCCTCCGCCTGCCTCCTGAGCTGGGAAACCTGCAGCTCCTGGGACTGGGAAGCGGGCGACAGGAGGAGAGGCCCGTGCACGGCTCTGCCCGGTGCACCACTGCCGCAGCCTCTCTGCAGTTCCCAGAAAGCCCGGCAGAAGCCTGCGCCTCAGCGCCGTGTTCTTGGGGCTGCTCTGAGGAGTCAGGATCAGAGGTCAAAGGTTGACCCGCCCAGGTTTACCGCAGCCTCAGGCTGCTTTTCCTACTTCTGAGCAGTTGAGGCAGGAGGCCTGTATTTGCACATTGTACGTGAGCACACCCGTGGGTGGACCGTCGCGGGCCACCTGCGCACCGGAGCCCTGGGCACTGGCATCCTTGGGGACGCTGCGGCGGTGGTCTCTGTCCTAGCACCCCCTGCAGGTCAGGTGAAGCTTGCTTTGTGACCAGGGGACTTCCAAAGTGTATGGGCAGGGCCAGTGCTGTGGCATAGCGGGTAAAGCCGCCGCCTGCAGTGCTGGCATCCCATATAGGCTCTGGTTCTAGTCCCGGTTCTCCCAGCTGCTCCACTTCCCATCCAGCTCTCAGCTGTGGCCTGGAGAAGCAGTACAAGATGGCCCCGATCCTTGGGGCCCTGCACCCACGTGGGAGACCCAGAGGAGGCTCCTGGCTCCTGGCTTCAGATCGGTGCAGCTCCGGCCGTTGCAGCCATCTGAGGAGTGAACCAGCAGATGGAAGACACCTCTCTCTCTCTCTCTCTCTTTGCCTCTCCTTCTTTCTTCTTTCTCTTTGGAACACTGACTTTCAAATAAATACATCTTAAAAAAAAAAAAGGTCGTGGGAGAATGGGATGAAGAGATTGTTTCGGTGCAAGCCAGGGTGGCGCTCCCTGCATAGTTTCCTCTTAGCATGTGGTTTTCAATGTGCTGTTTGAAGGCCCCAAGTATGCATGGATTTAGATTTTTTTTTCACTCCAAAGTAAACTCGACTTTTTATTGCATTTTCACAAGCTTTTTGTGGTAGTCATGTGTCTTGAGACCCTGGAGAGGGGTGCCCTGTCGCTAGTGTCAGCTGTCTAGAGGGTGACACGTCGGGACCAGTGAGGAGACAGATGGAAGCTGGGCCCGGGTTGGGGGGGGGATGTCAGCGAGCCCTCCCACTCGGGACCCATGCAGAGGTGCGGGTGTTGGGTACTTTGGATGAATGACCATGGGGAAGGGTCTGCTCCCAGGCTGCTCCAGCGTCTTCCACGGGAGAGGGTGCTGGCTTCCCTGTTAGGGTCTGAGCCGAGCTGGAGGGCCCTGGAGAGGCAGGGGCCTATGAGATCACCTGGCCTTCCTGGTCCCTCCATGTGCACCTGGCAGTGTCCAGCTGTGAGGCAAGGATGGCAGCTCCATCCTGCTGAAGTCGCCGCCAGCCGGGGTAGGCTGCACGGTCCTGCTCTGAGCGCGAAAATCCCCCGAGGGAAGGAAGGCGGTGGCCTAATTCAAGACAGAGTTTGCAGCCTGCTTGTTCAGAAGGGCGAGACAGGTGGCAAAGCAAAGTGCATGCCGGCAGGGAGGGCCTCCCTCTCCCACCCCGTGAGGCCGCCAGGGGCCCTGTATCTGGAGCTGTGCGGCCTGTGGGGTGAAGCCCAGGACCGCAGCCTGCTCTGCAGGCCTTAGGGGTCTCCTAGGACCTGAAGACAGAGCACACAGCAGCAGTGCAGGGAAATCCCGAGCCAGGCTGGGAGGATGTGCGTGGCGGGCGTAGGCGGCTGAGTGGGGACACCCCTGGGGGTCGTGCGGAGTGGGCAGGGGGTGACAGTGAGGCATCTAGAGCTGAGGTTGGCTGTGGGCGTGTTGGAGTGTGGGCTGCATTGTGTGGACGTCAGGAGGGGCAGGCGTGCTCCCAGCCGCGATCCAAGCCCGCTGAAGGGAGCTGTGTGGCAGGGCGAGGGAGGGTGTGCTCCGTCCTGAGACTCCTAGTGACAAGCCGGAATGTATGCAGAGGAGGAAGACCTGGCCCCCAAGGGCCTGAAAATGACCCATGGTGCCTGGTGGGCGGAGATGAGACACACAAGCCCTGTGTGTTGCACCTGTTGCTACCCAGCAGCAGGGAGCCCAGCAGGAGTGAGGCAGGCGGGTTGGCCTCCTGCAGCCCGCAGCACTCAGCGAGTCACTGCGAGCGGAGGAGGGGACCCCCCACGCCCTCTGCCCCTCTGTCCGTCAGGCTTGGGTTCTGGATCATTCCCGGAACTCTGTTCGCCGTTTGTTAGTTTCTTGTGGTTAGCTCTCACGTTTTGATGAATTTTGCTAGAAGTGCATATCCCACTTCATGGGCCAGGTATTCTTGCCGTGTTTTGTGAGGATCAGTGTCCTTACCTAATGCCTGCGCGTGCCCGGCCTCATCTCCCGTTTGCACACAATGAACCGACTCGGCAGAGCGGAGTCCCTTGCCTGGTACACAGCTGCTAAGTGACAGAGCCAGGGGCTCCAAACCAGCAGTGTGGTCCACAGCCGCCAAGTTTAAAAACCATGAGTACGGCAGGAAAGGGAGAACAAGCTCAGCCTTTAACTGTTTCTCCTGAGATTGTCTGTTTGGCCAAACGAATACTGCGTTCGTATTGCTGTTCCTTAGCAGCCTGGGACCCAGAATGCTGCTTCCTGCCGTGCTGTGATACAGTGCCACCTTCTGCCCCCGCAGCTCCTGGCCCAGCCTCTGGCTGCATAAGGACAGCAGTGCACCCAGACGGATGCTTCTGCTTCCATAAAGTACAGTCAGCATGTCCTGCCTCCAGTCTGTGTGTGAGAGCAGTGCTGTGCTGACGTGTTTCTCAGAGCTTATGTTTTCCTGCAGTTTCTGGTTACCTTTTTAGTTGGTTGAGCCGTTTGCCTTTGCCATAGCCACACCACATTCCGTACCCTGTGGTGCCGTGGGATCTGTGACTCCCTTCTCTTCCAGGGGACCTCTCCAATCTTCCTGGGCTGCTGCCGACCCCCAGCTGCTGGCCGGGGACTACCCTAGCTCCTGGGTTAAATCCATTGTTTCCTGGATTCCTCTTCTTGATTTACTTCCTTTTTCTGATATTTTTCTAGCAACTTCCAAAAATTGATGCATAATCTCTTGATAAGTGATTTGAATCTTTATATGTCCAAGAAGTGACTTTTATTAGGGCTTCACATTTGGCTAAAAATATATGCCTGGGAGTCTGGCATTGTGATGTTAACAGGGTAAGCCACCGCCTGTAATACTGGCATCCCACGGGGCATCAGTTCAAATCCCAGCTGCTCTACTTCAGGTCCAGCTCCCTGCTAATGCACCTGGGAAAGCAGCAGCAGATGGCCTGAGTGCTTGGGCCCCTGCACCCATGTGGGAGACCCGGATGGAGTTCCAGGCTTCATCCTGGCCCAGCCCCAGCTGTTGTAGCCATTTAGGGAGTGAACCAGCAATTGGAAGATTGCCGCACCACCACTCTGCCTTTCAAATATGTAAAATCTTACCCAAAAAACCACGTATGCTTGGGAGTTTGAGAGTGAAAAGAACCTGCCCCTGCTGAGATGAGTTCCCAGGGTACCCCCTCCCCATACACCTCCTCCCACCCACCCCCCAGAGGCATCCCCCACCCATCCTGCTCTGCTGCTTCGTGGCCCGGCCCCTCTGCTCCTCAGCTGCACCCGCACGTGAGGGCGTAAGCCTGAGCAGACTCTCCTGGGTGACCGCGTCTGAGAAGTGCTTCTGTCTGGAACCTTCAGCATCTCTGATCTCGGTTCTCAGGGGCACGGTGTCCAGGTGCCCAGTGCCCAGGTCCTGGAGGCAGGCCCCGCGCTGGCTGAGTCGGCTCCTTCCGGGCAGAGAGCCTCGCGCTGTTTGTCCCACTGGTCCCTGCCCATGGCTGTCGGGGTGCGTGTTGGCTCCTCTGAGTTCCACGTTGCCCTACAATGTTCCCGCTGCCCTCACTTAGGAAGGGTCTCTGTCCCACCCGACTGCCATCTCAGCTGTCAGGTGTTTGGCTCCAAGCCCTGGCCAGCTGCCCCTTTGTAGTGGTGGCCATCTCGTCTCCCTTCGTGTCAAGAAAAATCTCAGACGTCCACAGCTCGAGAAAGTGGCCTTGGCGCCTCCCCCTGCACCCGGCGTCAACGCCGCAGTGGTGGCAGAAGCCCGCGTTTTCCTCTGTGACCCACACTCCTCCTGGCTTCCGCTCTCGCCCCCTGAACGCTCCACCTCTGACACCAGCTGCGCCGCCCCGGCTGGCTGCCTGCGGCTGAGTTCCCTTCCCACGCAGACCTCCTGGGGTGAGGGCCTTGCCCCACGCCAGGCCCGAGTGCAGGTTGTCAGCTGTCGGGGCGTCGCACCCTCCCCTCCCCAGGCCGCCACGTGCTGGCGTGGCTCGCAGAACTTGGGCGCACCTCCTTAGGCTTGTCGGGGTAGTCTAAAGGTGAACAGTGCACGGACAAGGTACAGGGAGGCTCTGCCTGTGGGGAGCAATCCGGACTAGACTAAGTTGCTCGAATTAGGACTTATTCTATGCATCTGCTCTCCCACAATATGGCGCTGGGAGAGAAGTAAACAGCTTCCGCACAGCTGCCTCCAGTTCAACCAATTAACTGTAGGACTTGCTCCTGATTGGAGAGCAGCGTACTCAGCCGAGTTGGGATTGGCGGAGGAGGACTATAAAGGAGGAGAGAGACGGCATGCACCAGGAACATCTATGGGGAACATCTAGCTGAAGGAACACCTGTGCAGCCCCCCAGAGAACCGGCCGGCGGTGTGCCGCTCCCCTGCGGAAGTGGGGAATGTGGCCAGGGGGAACTGCCCTTCCACGGAGGTGGAAGGGATAGTAGCCAACCCGGGAAGAACCAGCAGCAAACCCGGGGAGGGCCGAGCAGACGAAAGAACAGCGCAGGGTCCTGTGTCGTTCCTCCACGAAGAGGGGGAGCGACACTGCCGATCCCGATCTCTCGAGTGTGTGCCAGGAGGCTGCGTTCTGTGGGCCTGAGAGATGCGGGGCCGGCTTGGTCTGGGCTCCTCTCCTGTCCTCTCCCTTCCTGAGTCGCACCACGGGTTCTCTAGGGACTGTCCAGGAGTCGCAGTCACACATAGCCCGGGGTTTCGGGCGCCGTGTGCCAGGGCAGAGACCAGGCTACCCGTGGTGAGCAGCAGGGCAGCGCACCTCGCTGAAGACGCTGCCCCGTTCTCTCGTGCCCGGCTCCTGTACGGCGTCAGCTGAGCCAGCACAGGTGTCACCCCTTGGTCTCAGCAGACATTTGTGTGATGTCCCTCGTAGCTCCTCGCTCTCTCCGCCTCTGCTGCTCTTCCTCCTAACACCGCTGCCTTTGGAAGGCGGCGCCACACCGGGTGGGCCAGGCTGCGGGCGGAGCTGCCTTGCAGGTCCGGAGGGCTCCCCGCCAGGCGCCACTTGTGCCAGAGGGGGTGGCAGAGACACAGCCACCCATCAGGCCCCTAGGATTTCTGATGCAAGGTTTAGAGACATGGCCATGGGTTCCTGCGGAGGAACCATCACTGCTGCCTGGGACCGAGGCGTCCCACAGGGTTGGGGAAGAAGCCAGCACGGAGCGGGGCAGGCCTCTCCCGGATGTGCCTGGCTCCCCCAAGGCTGAGAGCTGAGTGAAGACCTGTGCGTCTGGGCGCCATCCTGAGCAGATAAATCACAGCCCGTGGGAGCTGCTGCTGTGGCTTCCTCGCCCCCTCTGACCCTCCTTCCCCCTCCTCTCGCCTTTTTTCCTTCTCTAAATGAAGTTGCCTTTTCCCCAGGGACCCGGCAAACTGTGAGACAGTGTCTGGATGTCCTGGGAATCCTCGGCTCAGGTGTCACTGAGGTCATTCCTTTGTTGTGCGACTATAAATAGCCCCCACCCTGGGAAGCATTTCCTGGGGCGGGTTTCTGCAGCCCCCACTCCCCTGCCCACATCCTGCCCTGGCAGCCGCAGGCGGGGGGGGGGGGGGGGGGGGGGTTTGGGGGGGGGGCCTCGTTTTTTTGGGGGTTTTTTTCCCGGGGGTGGTTTTCTCGAGAGCTGAGCTCCTCCTTGTCTGGCGGAGCTGGGATCCAGGATCCGGGATGCAGGATCCGGGAGTGTGCCAGGCCGGTGCAGCCCCTGTGGACAGAGCAGTCACCCCTCTGAGGTCACAGGTCACGGGGGCTTCCCTGAGGTCTGCTCCGCAGAGGCCCTGAGGTGCTGGCTTGATCCAGTTTGAATTTGGGGTTCAGCATAAACCCTGCACGATGCTTGACAGGAACTTGGAGAAATCAGCAGAGTGTCTTGGTGGGAGGGGGAGGAGTCCCGTGGGGCTTCCTGACTGCCAGGTTCTGGGGGGTCCTCATCTGGGCCCTCCTGAGCAGCCTGCGGCTGTGCCCCTCACCTGGGCTGCTCTGCCCACAGACCCAGGGTGTCACCGAGGTGGCCTGGGGTGTACTGGAGACTTTGAAGAATTGCAAAGAAGGCTGCAGACCCGTTGGGTAAGGGGAGCGCAGGGCTACGCGCAGAAGCCCTCCCTGCACGGGGGACCCTGTGCGCTGGCATCGCGTCTGAGCAGATGGCAGTGGGGGCAGAGCCGTGCTGCTGGTCTCCTGGTGCCACGGGCTTCACCTGTTGTCACAAGGAGACACACACACTCACACACACGTGCACGGGCGAGTGTTCCCGTCTACGGTCTACTCCCCAGATACCTGCAGTGGCCGGGGCTGGGCCGGGAAGTACTCCATCCGGGCCTCCCCCAGAGGTGGCAGGGACCCAAGTACTTGAGCATGCCCTGCTGTCTCCCTGGTGTGCATCAGCAGGGAGCTGGAAGCAGCTGTCGGAGCCAAGATTCAGACCCAGGCACTCGCTCTGGGGTGGGAGTGTCCCGAGTAGTCTGAGCACTGCACCAAACGCCGGGCAGCTTCATTTGCTGGTGGCTGGCTGTGCGGCCGAGAACCTGGGCAGATCTCTCTCTCGGCTTCCTGACCCTTCTGTCAGAGGCGGCCTCTGTGTTTCCCTGTCTCTCTCCCACGCCCTCCCTCCCATTATCTGCTGTCATCATGGCACCCCTCCCCCCCTCCCTCTCCCTTTCTCATGCTCCTGCTTCCTCCTCATGGGAGAATCCAGGAAGAGTCTCCACTCCAGACTCCCTCCTGCTGAGTGTGGCCCCATGTTCCCAGATACTGGAAGTTGGCCCAGAACACCTTAGGGGGTTGCCTCGCTCTCAGCTCCGCTGGGAAGTACAATTCTCTGGCGCATGGGGACACAGGACCGCCCAGCCTGCCCCTTCTCGGCTTGATCCTTTCTGCCCTGGCTGGGGTCAGCGCAGCGGTCATCTTGGGAACCTCCTTCTCTGTGCCTGGGCCGAGAGACTGTCGCCGTCCTCAGCCGGGAGAGGGCAGCCTGGGCCAGACGGTGATGTGTGTGTGGTGGGGGAGTTCAAGGACTGTGTTAGGGGGCAAAGCCCCACCATTTGGTGCTGAGTTGGGGCCAGATGAGGGGGCAGGGTCTAGACTTCCTGCGCTGATGGCTGGGCTGTGGGGATGCTGGCAACAGCTCTTTAGTTTATGGGTACCAGCAGGGCGTCCAGGCGGAGGTGACTTGCACACAGCTGGACATGAGTCGGGGGTGGAGGTCAGGAGAGGCAGGGGCCAAGCCAGGAGCACACAGAGGGCAGCCAGTTCCAGGGTGAGAGGGAGGTGTCCAGTGGGAGTGCAGGGAGAGGAGGGCCGTGGGCTGAGCCCCTGTGGAGACCAGGGGACCAGAGCAGGGATTTGGGTCTTCCACGAGCCCCAGATTCAGTGTCGCTGACATCCGGGGCACCTCCATCAGCAGCAGAGGTTAAAGAGCCCCTAGCGGCTGGGTGGCGTTGGGTGCAGTGGGGCAGGTACCTCTGGTGACTCCTGCCGCCTTTATCTGTGTGCTGGTGTGAGCTCTGGCGGCACCCCCAGCTCTGGCTTTCTGCCGACGCACACCCTGAGAGGCAGCGGGCAGGCTGCAGTACTCGGGACCTGCCACGCCTCTGGGAGACCCACACCAAGTCCCTTGCTCCTGGCCACGGATTGGCCCTGCTCTGCTCTTGCAGGCATTTGGGGAGTGAACCGGTGGATGGAAATCTCTGGCTCTGCTCCCCAGAGAAATAAAAATTGTATAAAAGAACCTGTAGCAGTTGAATTTAAGGAAGCAGCTAAGACAAGGACCGAAGAGTCCTCCTGGGGCTGCCTGGGGCGTCTCACGGGAGCCTCAGCGTCCCTGATGGGTGGCAGGGGTGGAGGGGTGTCGTCAGGCCCGCTCCCAGGAAGGCTGCTTCCATAGGTCGGGGAGCCCGAGGACCGGCCTGGCCCTGGCTGATGCGGGGCGCTGTCTGTGTGCCTGGGGTGCCAGCTGCTTTCTCGGGAGGGTGTCAGATGGGGAAGGGAGGGGTTGGCGGAGACCAAACGCGTCACCTGGTTTGTCATGGAGACCCATCTCAGCCCGCATGTCCTGCAGCCTTGATGGCAGCACAGTGGCTCTGGGGACAGGCCACACCCAGAGGGGTGGGCCCTGTGGTGATGTTAGCCTAGAGATGGTGGCATCAGGAGACCATTCCAGGGGCTCCGCGTGTGTTCCTGGGAGCAGGCAGAGCACC